TGTGTGTGTGTGTGTGTGTGTGTGTGTAACAGACCCTTAAGAGAAAAGACAGCCCTAATAACAGCCTGCCTATCAAGTCACCTCCCAAATGTTCAGGTGAAATAAGACCAGGGCCCCCACCAGCCCCCACCACCACCACCACCAACTGACCACTCTTTCCTCCCCAGGGATCGGCTCTTTCACTTTTTTCCTCCCCACACCCTGCCCCCTGGCTTAGAGACGCCTCAAAGCGTAAATCTCTCTTTGGTGGGGCTTGACTGGCAGCTCAACAGAATGGGCAGTGAACCGAGTGGCTGTGCTGGTGACCCCACCAAGGGCCACAGAAACACTGAGAAGACTTAGCACCCCGGCTTCCACTTGGGGCAGAGGACCCTTTTGCATAAGTTCACAGGCCGGTCTGGGAAGGGCCCCAGGGGGTGATCTTTCCAGGGAAACTAGCAAGGCCCTGAGGACCATTGCTGCCAAGTGCGGGGAGAGGCATGAAGCCCAGCCTCCCTACAGCATGGAGCGGAGCAGAACGGCCAGCCTGAGGGAGTCTGTTCTTTGAAGGGAGTGAGTTCTCCCAGTTGGAGATTCTGGGGAGACTTGGGGCAGGAAAGGGAGAGGGCAGGGGTTGGGGTGTGGGGGAGAGTTGCTTCCTGGGCAACTAGCTTCCTAGCCTGGTTGGGTGCCTGCAGCTGCTGGACTCCAAACATCTATAGAGAGTGAGGAGGGGCCAGAAGGCTGGCTTAGGAGGAAGCACATGCACACATGGGCCTTGAGAGGCGGCGGTTCAAACCAGCAGTGCAGAAAGGCTTGAGGAACGCACTCCCCGAAGGACAGCAGTCACGCCCACCCCACCCCCAGCGCCCCTGTGTCCTTGGCCACTCTGACCCGTGAGAATAAGTGTGCAGAAGCTCCCAGCATGCGTACACCACTGTGCCTGGCCATAAAGAGTTACAACTCTTGAAAATCGGGCACCTACTCCATGCTGTGTGTCAAGCATGAGGCTGTGGCGGTCTCAGGGGCTTCAGAGAATTCTTCGTTCCCACACTGGACACCTGGGTTTAAGTCGCATCCAGGGCACCTCATGAGAAGCAAGCGCCGTCTGTCGGGGGAGGTGAGTGCTGCTCCAAGCAGGATGATTTTTCCGCAGAGCTTCTAGACTGTGGCAGACGAGCAAGAGTGGTCTGGCGATCGGCTTCCGAAAATCAGTCCGTGAAAACTGAATCACAAGTGTCCGATCTGCAGCCCATCGGGGATGACTCGGGACCGGGCAGCATTGTGTTCCAGTGGGCGTGGAGTCACCTTGGGCTGGGGGGTCAACATGACCCCAAGGCCACTCTGCCACCACTGCCCCCTTCCACCCCAGGTCCTCTAATCCGTCCATGAGGATCCAATCCAGGCTCACCTTAAAGATGGGGAACGAAGAGTTCACAGAGGGAAGTGGGGCCCTTGCTCAGTTGCAGGCAAAAGGTCTTGAAGGGAGATTCGGATGCAGAGCAGCCGGCTCCCCAAGCCCCGGCTCTCTCGCTTTCAGGGTCTTCCTCAAATGTCTCTGGACCCCAGCCACCCACCCCACCCCTCCTCCAGGAGAAGGTGTAGGCAGAAAGGTCAGTTTAGAGGATGCTTCAGGGCATAGTTTTGTGTGTGTGTGTGTGTGTGTGTGTGTGTGTGTGTGTATGTGTGTATCTGAGTTTCCTGAAAACAGGAGACTTCCAATTCTGTGCCATTTTCTAGAGGTACGCCACCCCCCAAATCTGCAGAAACAACTAAGT